TTGAGGTAGGCTGACTATTATGTAGGTTGGCCTGGTGTGTGCATGGCAGGTGTGGCTGCACTGGGCCCAGGACTGGCCTGCTGCAAACATTTCTCCTTTTGACTACAGCCCAGAGCCCCCAAAGCATGCATACGCCCAGGGTCTCACAGCGCACACAGTTGCCCAGCTTCCACCATTTGACAACTTGGCTCCTGGTGAAGTCAATGGCAACACTCCTGTGGAGTTCAGCAGAGGGACAAGCAGGTCATTAGTGCTTCAGCCCAGACTGATAGATTCACAGAAGTAACGAACAATAAGGATGGGATTTGAACCCATACAGGCAAAACACAACAGATTAGCAGCCCATCGCCTTAACCGCTCAGCCACCTTGTCATGGTTTGCCATAGTTTTTTTTTTTTCCAGAACCCAGCTGCAGGTTAGTGGGAGGTTGGGGTCTAATTAAAAATACAAGAGATGATAAAATGACAGCAAAAGTATATTCAATTACTGTTGATTGCAGTAGGCTTTTCATGCAGCTTGATGATCCTATTGATCTCTGTATAGACATTGATAGACAACTTTTTCTGTTTTTTTTATTTTATTTTAACTTTATAACTTAAATTAGCCCATGGTGCAACTTGTTGTTAGTTCATACATTTCCTCTGCATGCCTCTTGTGTCTTGTACTGAAACAACACATGTCAATACTTTGTTCCATACTCTGCCACAGACTGCCTTGGTGACCCTGGGCACGTCATTTTGCCCCTCTGCGCCTTAGCGCTTGGACCGTAAGTGGGAATGATCCTTCTCTACCTCCCCGGGAGGTTGTGAAGACAAGGAGGGCTGGAAGGGACCTCAGGAGGTCACATCTAGTCCAACCTCCTACAAAGAGCAGGACCATCCACATCTAGATCATCCCAGCCAGGGCTTAGTCGTGCCTGGCCTTAAAAACCTCCAAAGATGGAGATGCCACCACCTCTCAGGGTAACCTGTTTCAGGGCTTCACAACCCTCCTGGTGAGAAAGTGTCCCTAATATCTAACCTAAACCTCCCCTTCTGCAACTTGAGGCCATTGCTCCTTGTCCTGTCATCTCTGCCACCACAGAGAACAGTCCAGCTCCATCCTCGTGCAAACCCCACTTCAGGGAGTTGAAGGCTGCTATCAAATCCCCTCTCAGTCTTCTCTTCTGCAGATTAAATAAGCCCCGTTCCCTCAGCCCCTCCTCAGAAGTCATGTGTCCTAACCCTGTAACCATTTCCATTGCCCTCCACTGGACTCTCTCCAGCTTCTCCATGTCCTTTCTGTAGTGGGGGGCCCAAAACTGGACACAGTAGTCCAGATGTGGCCTCAGCAGTGCAGAATAGAGGGGAAATAATCACTTTCCTCAATATCCTGGCGACCTTCCTTGTTCTTCTCTGTTTCTTTTCTCAGCAGGACGGTACCTAGACTCCCGGCAGCCCTGGGCAAACTTGCAGTATCAGGCCCCACATTGCCAGTTATAATGATTTCTTGTTGTGAATGTCTCTCTCCCATCTGTGGTAGCAATGTCTTTAAATAATTTGTTCTGAATTGGTAACATTGCCAGTATGGTATATGCTCAATTATGTAAACATTGCCAGTATGCTCAATTATGTAAACTTTTTTGCAATTTTATTCCTTTCTTTTTTCCATTTTCAGGTTCCCTCTTCTGTCTGGGCCCCAGGCGGCTGCCCAGTTCACCCACGCCTGTGTCTGGGGCTGCTTTGCAGCTGTTTCTCCTGCTTCTCCATCTGTCGTCTTCCCTTTGTCCAGCTGAAGAAAGTGGACACTACTTTGCTAATGGCAGTGAAACAAGAGCTCTTTGGCACACCTATGCGTTATTATACATCTCTAACATACTGAGGACACTTCTACATGATAAAGCCCATACAATCAGAGTCACGAGGGCACCTAATTCACTTTCATCTGAATGTGGGTGTTAGACACCTCACGTTATGGACCTGGATCCTAGTGGGCTTTTCAAGCAAGTCAGTACAAAATTCAGGCATTTTCAAACTCCCACCTCCGTGCCTAACTCCCCTGGACACCTCCATTTCTGCCAGGTGCCTCCTCCTAAGCACTGAAGTGCTGTTGTTCTTCTAGGTCCAAGGAACTGATTCTTTTCACTACAAATCAGAAGAAAACCAAAACATTTCAAAGACAGA